AACCCTAGCTTTAACCCTAGCCTTAGTAATGCGAACTATTATTATACCCTAACCTTAACCCTAGCTTTAACCCTAGCTTTAACCCTAGCTTTAACCCTAGCTTTAACCCTAGCTTTAACCCTAGCTTTAACCCTAGCTTTAACCCTAGCCTTAACCCTAGCTTTAACCCTAGCATTAACCCTAGCTTTAACCCTAGCTTTAACCCTAGCTTTAACCCTAGCATTAACCCTAGCTTTAACCCTAGCTTTAACCCTAGCTTTAACCCTAGCTTTAACCCTAGCTTTAACCCTAGCCTTAGTAATGCGAACTTCCTTCATACAAGTGCCTCAGGACGTATTTAAATAATTATCATTTTCCACCCAGAATCTTTGGTGAATCATTTCTACCCTAAAACACGAAAGGTGCTTATTTAAGGTCCAAAATACGTAAAAATACATCTAGGAGTAGGAGATGTTTTTCAGAAACTAAGGATCTTGATATTTCAAAAAAGAGAGATATAGAAATAAAGCATTTGCTAAACAAATGCAGCGTACATAAGCATATGTTCATGTTATATCGTATATTCATTTCAGAACTTTTCGAGCGTAGCGATATTAAAACCTGCTTGTGATATTCGATTGATAAATTCAAGGTTGCCTTACCATTATTCCGATCGAGATGAATCTACAAAAACTCGATAAGCACGCGGTGCACACGTGGGGAGCAGAAAAGAAATGTTCGTGTTACTGGCTATTAGTAATAGTATCGCAGGTCTTGATATAGCAATGCTAGAATTAATCGAGACTCATGTAGATCAAATAAACGTGGAGTTTAGTTCGAACCAATGTGACTCACATTGTCACACAATGTGACTCACATTGTCACACTATGTGACTCACACTGTCACACTATGTGACTCACACTGTCACACTATGTGACTCACACTGTCACACTATGTGACTCACACTGTCACACTATGTGACTCACACTGTCACACTATGTGACTCACACTGTCACACTATTGACTATGTGACAGACAGCTCGCAAATGGGCACGGTTATAACTTATAGACAACAGATAACATACAACCAAATAAATGGTAGATAATCATAATGAGCAGTTGCTATGTTACAGTTGTCTTGAAGTCCTGGTCCCTGGCAAATAGACAGTGAAGTTGGAGTGAAGTTCAGATAAGATAAGCACTCAGGGGTTTCTAGGGCGTGGAGTACCACCTCGCATTCCGGATCCAGTGCAATGCACACTATATTAACAGGAAACGATGCAACAGAGTTGATATATTTTAAAGTTGCCATGGGGTGGCAAGTCCCCATACATCGTGATCCGGTAGTTTCATTGCGTCTTAATATAATGTTCTGTAGGTCATTCATATTGGTCAAATTCCTATCATGAAGTTGTACAATTTTTATTAATATTACAATGAAGCACGCGTGAACTATTTGTTTGCAAATGTTTTTGTGTGTGTGCGGAAAGCGGATGATTATTTTATGGTGATTAGAATCCGGGAGCTAAAACAGAGAGAGAGAGAAAAACTTCAACCCAGCTTGTGAACTAACAAGGCCTAATAGAATTAGTAAATTTAAGGAATCTGTACAAACTTGTTGACAAATTCCTTAACATAGATACTCATAGTCATACTCATAGATACTTTCCGACTGTTCCACATTTTTGGGATAAAGAATTGTTTATGAAAGATCCTGTTTTTTTTTGTGAAAAATAATTCTTATCAAGAATTGGTCCAACTTTTGTGATGATAGGTAAATGGAATCAAAAACCGCGTGTAAGCCTGAAGATTTACTGTTTCAAATGTTGGATCTAGTTCAAACGGGCAAATAGACTTTAAGTACCCATACAATTTTAGTTTAAAGTTTAAGATAAACTTTATATTGAATGTAATCTCGAACATTTGAAACGCATTCTGATCTAGATTGTGTGCCGAGTCTATTGCAGTTAGAATACAAAATTTGAGGCAAATTTTACAATTGCAATTTTTCGCGAACGAATATGAACATAAAATGCTCTAAAGATCATTATAATTATCATGACTACGTAAGCAGTCTATGACTATAAGATGTAAAGGAGGATGGGTGTTATCGCAGAGGGAAAGGGGTTGTTTAAAATATTGCGGAAATGTGGCTTAGCTTTAATATAAATATTAGATCGATCGCTTCATCAGTCCTTGAATTGGCCATAAATTTAATTTCCTTGTCATGTGGTGGTAAATTGCATGGTTTCGTTGCGATAAAATGTAGCCTTTCAAACACCCAATCTCTTCAACTGAAAATGAAAATGGTCATATCGTTACAGGAACAGGTATCGAGTTCTATGTGCCACAATAAGGGACAGAATTATATGGCTATAAGGCATTAGTTTTAAAATTAACGAGGAAAATATTACTGTGCCTGTCAACAGAGTTGAATTAGTAAGCTGCACAGTGCACATTAACAATAAACATTCGATTAAACTTTGATAGAAATTGTATTAGAAACTCGCTGGCTGAAAGCTTCATTCGGGGAATTTAAAATTAGTTATTATTCCTGCAATACTACAACATTGTATAGTAGTTATAGTACCTACAACCTTGATAAAAATCGCGAGTTTTCAACTCCATTTGCGAGCTGTAACTGTTTCATACGGAGGGTCACTTTTAAAATGTTTTTTGGCCGTTACCGGGGGATTTCGTCAAGTTTAAATATAGTATAAATGTTAGATAAATTTTTAAACATCAGATGGCCGTCGTAAAACAAAAATATTATTTTAAAATATGTGTCACTGTCTATCACATTAAACTAAATAATCCAATTTAATGGTTTAATCAAATTATATTAAATCATGATTTCAAAACGTCCATTTATCTAATTTTTAATTTTTATCTAAAAAAGGTGAAAAAGTTTTCCCCAAACGTGGTTTAATTACATTATTTTTAACAAAATAACTTGTAAATACAGTCCGTAAAAACGCAGACTGAACACTAAGCGACAAATATCTAAACTAAATTACAACTATTTAAACTAAATTAGCACCCACAAATAGAATTTACCAACTTTAACCCCCAATTGACTCTCACTAATTCCCTGAATCACTTTGTAACAAATTCCTTTCAACACCACGACCGAGCCGTCAGTCAGATCCTAGAAGTGCAGCTTCTTCAGAATCAAGGGTCGTGAAACTGCAAGTCGTCCTCAAGTTCAAAGTTTAAGTGGATACTCCTGTCACGAGGTCTAGATAGTGCGTGCTGATTGGTTGGTTTGTGTCACGTGGTGTGAGTGCTGTGCTCTGATTGGTTGGTTTGTTCTGAAGTTGTTACTTACGGATAAAGCAGAAAAGGTTCACAGAGTAGTAGTGCGACACGTATATCAAAATGGGTAGGTTAGGTAGGTGAAGATGATACCTTGTCAACGTTCATGATTTTGGCCAGGGGGTTGAAGTACGGTATCAGAGATGGTGGGGGAGAATTTTATGAGGAATGTGCCAGAAAATTGTGCAGGGCTGTTCTACTTCTGCATTGTGTCTCCGGAACGGTGAATTGGTTGGTACGCGCTGAATGTTTGGAAACAGTGTCAAACAAAATTTGCAGGGAGTGCTGCAGCTTAAGGAGTTGGAGATAAATATTTGCAAGTCCATGTTTTTTCAACCCTGTGGTACTGTTTATTGATATCAAAACAGAAAACGTTGTCATGATTATGAAGTATTCTACTAAATGTACAGTGTCAGTATTTCCTTTTATGACGCGGTTTTAGGGATGAAAGATTTAACGTAAAAACTCCAAGTTGTATAACTATAACAGGAGCACTGTGTTATTTATTTTTTGTGCTAAAATCAGTTTTGAAGTGCGCCAAACATGCATATTGTGGGAGCTGTAATCCATTTAAAAGATGATAAAGACATGTAAGTCTTAACTAACGATGATAATCTTGAAGCTGAGATAGCATCAGATAAAATAAGTGAACGATATGTCAAGATATAATTTCATTCCATTTCCAACTAATAATGACAAACCCCGAAATCGGGAGATAATTGAACCGTCGCCAGTAGTAGTACAGTGCACAATGTCTCCTTTTTCATTTTTCCAAACAAAATGAAAAAGAAATGAAACCAATTTAATTTTAAATGACCGTTCTAAAATGCATGCAAAATGATACCATCTTTGACCAGAGGCGGCTCGTGGGAGCTGGCTAGTGGCAGTTGTGTCGGGCGTCCAATCGACGGACTATATTGATATAGGGGACGCGGGCGTCCCCTATATCAATAGGGGGTCATCACCAACTACCGATGGCTATTCGCCGATGACTGCATACAATACCACAGCAGAAAATTAATTAATTAATTAAACTATTCTAACGTATAAGGCAGGATTTCAAATATTACATCGAAGCTTGAAGCTAGAACTTACCATGCATATACTAGCACAAGCCCACATGTTTTACACATTACAGTTACATGAAACAGGGCCTGTAATTGTATGTAATGTGTAACACTGTAACAGGCGACAGCAAACACGATTACACGATTTTTACACGATTATAAAATCTATTTGTTATACAGGAATAATAACAATTGTAAAGTATAAAATATCTTACTTCCCTCTGAAGTAGAACACTGACAGTTGATGAGAAAGCTTCAAACATGGCGATGGAGGGAAGCGGTGTGCAAATTTATTATATTTATAACCCAGTATGTAAAAAAGCTATGACTCATGTTCTGTTACATTAGTTTCACAAAGAAAATATCCATCAGCTTTAAAACGTTTATAGTGCTCTAAAAAGCATTTGAAATTTTATCTGAATCCATAAATATTTAAAGTTAATAATAATAACGATAATACATTGACGTTCATTTTTTCTTCAAAATATTTAACAATCTTGTAAGTTCTCGCTATAAGTTTCGACATCTGGAATAAAATTTATTATTTCATTGTAATAATATTTAAAAAAGGAGCAAAGAACGCGAACGGTTGTTCTATTCGGAATAAAAATCTGTTTCAATATAATTATATATACTTTCAACACTACTATATAACAAATAATTTGAGGTTTTTACTGCGTTTTAAACGACGACCAACAGCTTTTAGTGGGTTTATCAAGTACTTTTCAGCACTTACCACTATATTTATTTGGTTTGAGTTAAAGTAGAGAGGTCTCAAATCCTTTACAGCAATGGTTATCACTGATGTCTATGACAAGATGAAAAAGGAGTTAGAAACGTTAAACGACAGTTTAAAAGGTAAGAAGAAGTTGGATACTATAATTGCAGATTCCTTAGACTTACCCACAGGGAATAACAAGCCGGATATGTTTGAAGTTATAAAGGAACTATACAGTTTCAGTAAGAGGGCCGTGTCACTACTGAAGACCAAGTCTATACTAGACACACCTGCACCACAGGAAGGGACAGCTACCGAGGCACTGGATATAGTGAGAAAGGAGCTAGCACAATTTAGACAAATTCTCATTGAGCACAATAAAGGTGGTCCAGATATTATACCTGAGATTAAGACCAATCTCGGACCCAGTGAGACTCATACTTTAACTCTGGAAGGGCAGAATGAGGCAGATAAGATAACAGAAGAACTCTGGTCCTCAAAGGTGAAGAAACATGTTGCATCAATACTGCCCAGCATCCCTATTAAGGGGGTCTCAGGTGTCAAAGAAGGCACAGCAAGGTTAATATTCAAGAACAAGGAACTTATGGAGAAAGCTAAAGATGCTCTTAGTGTGGACTACAAAGTGTCTGCAAAATCCCACACCGTGACAATGCTTGAACCTAAGCTTACTATGTATGATCTCAAAGGAGATTTTGAGTCATCTGAAGAATTGCGCCAGAGCATCCTTGATAAGAACAGTTCCATTAAGAGTTTAGTTGAAGATGAGAACAACACTTTCAAGGTTATTTTCCTGGAGAAAAACAAGACCTGGGCATGCCTACAAGTGTCAGTGAAAATCAGGCAGTCTATAAGGGAGTCAGGTGACTTTGTAAGATATGCAAATAACTTTCTGCTCCGAGGAGGAGAGAAAGTTATTTGAGGAGAGCCGCTCAGACATGGGCACCGTATTGTGTAAATTATTTAGTTATCTTTATACAATATCTTTGTCGCATATTAGCGGGATAGTAAATACAGTGTTTTGTTTCGTTTCGTTTCGTTTCGATATTCGACAGTACCATGGTACTGGTAGTAGCAGTGTTTAAGTCAAATAAAGCCAAAGGTAAGGGCAGACATGACGAACAGATATTAGACAAAGACATATTAAACAAATACGGAAACTTATAAAATGAGTGAAATGGGACACCATGACACGTACACGTGTATAATCTCAACCGCGCAGTATGATGGCAGATAGTTCAAATAGTTCAGGGTATCCTGGACACCCTGATCGTTTAAATAAACAGTATGTTGATGCGATGATGTGCTTTGAAGCAGTTTGCAATTAGCTGTGTGTTAAAACTGCGCGGCTGAGGTGTCCAAACAAGGATTGGACGCCCTACAATCAACACTATGATTTCACAAATATCTATATCATGCGTGCGCTTACATTCGAACGTTTGGCCGGGTTAAATAAAATAAAAGCTTTATATCGCGATTAGATATTTCTGAATACTATTAATATTTCTATTTTCAAGCACCAGCCACCTGATAATAATTTTAGGGCGTCCGTAGCCGCATATGCACTTTTTCCACATTCATTTACTGCCTGAAAAATGTGAAAATTCAAATTGTAACGAATTAAATTTAAGGTTTATTACATTTACATCAATCACACTTTGTAAAACTCTTCTTGGGTTGATTTGGGATGAGGCTGCAGAGACCTTTATAGAAGTTTAGATATTTGAAATAAGGATTTCTGGGACCTAGGAGTCAGAGGATAATTAATAACACTTTATTACGCTTACTTTTGTTTTAGTTGGTATCTCGAATGTCCTGAGGCTCACGGTTCTTGTAGAATATCAGAATTAGGCCTCGGTTAGGGGTCCTAAACAACACGTGGCTATGTAATTGTATGTGAACGATCCTCAATGAACCGCATGTACAAATTAAAAGAACGATTATTTCATCAGATCTTATTTGTTTTAGGATAAAAAACATGTACAGCATTTACATATTTTCAAAATTCTCCGCCAAAAGTAAAAATCGCGGGTACATATAAATCAGTGAAATCATTTCATTATTATATTAGACAAAAAATAGCCATAAACACTATTTATAGATTAAAATATCTTCTTATTATAAGATCAAAATTTAGATTTTCAGGAATGCAGCGTCATTCATCAAAAACTTAAAACAATTTAACAACGTTTAACTCTAGCAATATTTGTTCTCCCTATTAAAATACTTCTTCACTTTAAATTATAACCCAGGAGGGGGATTTAAAAAAAAATATAAGAGATACGAAAAGTTTGTTTTAGCAGGAGCTTTCAAAATACATGTGTAAATAGTCTTCAGTTATAACCCATCTATTATGTACTTATTACTTATAGCAAAAACAGTGTCTTACTTTGGATACTTTGGAGAGATTCGTAGATTCCTCTACTGGGTCATCGAATAGTGTCGAATCATGTTTAATTTAAATTTCATCAAAATGACTTCACGCCCACCCTGCACGAATATCAAATGATGCCAATTTTATTACAAATAATCGTATGACGTCATAGTCTCATATACACTAAAATAATGTGAAGTGTCATGGTAGTGATTCCCCGGTTAAAATTCATGATATTATCAGCATCCATTATAAAGTGGCGTTACATCGTCAAAACCTCTTGACAACCTCGTGACGTCATGACAACCTCGTGACGTCATGACAACCTCCTGACGTCATGACAAACTCGTGACGTCATGACAATATCGTAACGTCATGACAACCTCGCGATGTCATGACAATATCGTGACGTCATGACAACCTCGCGATGTCATGACAACCTCGCGATTTCATGACAATATCGTAACGTCATGACAATATCGTGACGTCATGAAAACCTCGCGATGTCATGACAACCTCGCGATTTCATGACAATATCGTAACGTCATGACAATATCGTGACGTCATGACAACCTCGCGATGTCAATTTGTCATGAAAACCTCGATCGTGAGGTAATGTGACTCTACGTGTCCTGTTCGCTGCGTGATACCCTCTGAAAGAGAGTCCTAGTAATGGTACCAGTGGTGGAAGCTCGTGGGGGGTCCAGGATGGCAAACCCCTCGTCCGTCATCTCCTCGACTCCATCTGAAACAGATATAAAAATTACTCCTCTGAAAGAGATGAGCACTGTGAAATATAATTTAAATTTTAAAAGAGAAGTAGGAAATTATCCCAAGATTGCAGACAAATATTTTTGAAGAACTTATTTTTCCTTCTTATTCGATTCTTCAGATTCCAGCCAGCTATTAAATCCAGAAATATATGAGTTGGATTGGAAAATGCCCTTATTTGGAAATAAATAATTAGACAAAAAGCAATCTGATAGACAATAAGCAGAAAAATACAATTCGGTGTTGAAATGTCAAAGAATAACACTATTTTCTCACCACGTTCACGGAAGTATGTAAGATCTTCTTCTACCGCTACAAGTTTCTCTTTAGCTATGTTCCTGGGTAAGTAAGTGACTGGTGAGTTATATTTTCGATACAAAATCTTAAAATTCTATTTCAATTAGCATTTCAGAGCATAAATGCGTCATAAATCACAAATAAAGGGGAGCTGATTTCCCTGTTTAATTGCGTTTCGGCCACGGCCCTTTCAGTAGAGCAGCTTTCACTACAGCATAGGTGGGCGCAACCTCAGATCCGTAGGCAACCCTGTCAGGTTTGAAGCTGGAATGGGCAACTGGAGCATCTGTCGTTCACACAATAATTTAGTGTCCGACCTGCATCCGACCGAATCGGTCCCCACTGGGAATCGAACCCCGGTCGTCTGCGTGAGAGGCGAATGAATTCGGGCATATAGCTTCTCTGCTAAACATTTCCTTGTGTTTGAAATCCTCACCTCTCATTAATGAGAAGAGTCATTTCCTCGACAGTGAATTTGTACCCGTTCTGTTCACATGTACATTTGTTAACCTTGCGTCTCCGGACTGTCGGACTGTAACTGGACAACACTTCTCGAATAACCTGTGGGGTTAATTAAGTAATTATCTAATTAAGTAGGTAATTATATTAAGTGATTATCTAATTAAGTAGGTAATTATATTAAGTGATTATCTAATTAAGTAGGTAATTATATTAAGTGATTATCTATTTAAGTAGGTAATAATATTAAGAGATTATCTAATTAAGTAGGTAATAATATTAAGAGATTGTCTAAATAAGTAGGTAATAATATTAAGAGATTATTTTATATAGGTTATAGATTGAGAGCTAATCTTATTGTGGATAACATTAGAAGTTTGCTGCTATAATTTGGTTAGTTCAGTGATCAAAACTAAATTCGGGAAGAGCCAAATGTTTATTGACAGCACCATATTCAATATAAAAGTATAAAATAAAAGGATAGAAACCTGAGCAGCGGACCGTTTGTAATCAGATTTAGCTCTCTGTATGTCCTTATCCTCCTGCATGTCCTGTAAGAGGATTACATAGGATTTCACAGGATTACACAGGACTGTAAGAGTGAACACGTGACAAGTGTAACAAGAATTGCGCCCGTTGTTTCGTTTTGGCGGACGCTAGATTTCCATTTCACATTTACTATAAAGTATAAGCTCCAATCAGCTCACTTCAGTCTTCATGATAATAATATTGATAAATTATGCATTAAGTACAGGAAACACTTGAAATTCAGTTCAATTGCCAAAGAACTTAACTTGTAAAGCAAAGAACTTAAATTGTAAGCAAAGGTAAACTATACTCGTGTACACATCAATACACTACGCGTGCCACGTACAAATTGGGCTTATAACCTAATATTATACATTACATCGTATACATTAAAACACAGGTGCGCCGCGCATTCATAGATCACAGGCTAGGCTATCTATACATCACATCTCCGCAAGCAATCCTCGCGCGCGCAACTTTTTCGTTGACATGGTTACTAACTTGTAGCGCGATGCACTACTGGGTCGCGCGCGCATCAAATAATGCTTCTCGCAACCACAGTAGTGTGCAAACCAACATTCGAACCACCAGCAGCTGGTGGTCAATTTCCTACGAACGCGACTTAATTTTGGTTCAGACTGGAGTCGAGCGCTACGTTATAGCTGTATATATAGCTCGTTTCACGACGAAATCTTCATTTATTGAGTTTGTCTGTCGATCATGTTGGAGTTTGTATTTTTAATTTTGTACTCGAATACTGTTAATTTATTTTTATTAAATAGTTGTTTTTCGTAACAGCACACTAGTACGTGATTCCTTTTGTTATTCTTACATAATTAGGAAGATTTTAAACTTCAATACTATAAATAATCAAATATTTACGAACACCGATCATCGGTATGTACCCATTATGCATTATTGGTATCGAAGTCTTATGTTGAGCTGGATATCGAAAAATTTCAAAATGTAAGGCTGTAATTTTGTACTTGTTTAGGTGTAGAACTAGGATTAACAACTTGATTGCTAGGAGCTAGGAAGAGATTTTAGTAATGATGACCCTTTAAACTTAAACTATATCTCTAGTGCACTTCGATCGGTTTTCTTTTCAATTTTGATAAAACCTAGTCGTGATCTTTGTTTCAGAACTTCACTAATTTGTTAAGTTTTGTAGTTTATATAGACGGAACATGAGCAGATACCATTTGATTAATTATAATATATCCGATTTGAAATATTATTCTGTCGGAGTTTGAGTTCAACATGGACACATTTATTAACATCCCGCATGAATTTGTGTCGTCTTTACAATTTTTTGCGCTGAATTTGTATGCTTATTAATACTGCCGCATGATATCAGTAGCTGCTATAAAACTAGAGTGTATAGCATGTGTATTATACGATGTTTCCCACGTAAAAATCGCAGGTTGTTTTGGTGCGGCTGGGCACTCTACTGGTGATTGACACCAGAGACTGAGAAAAACTTTGACATAATTTTCAAGTTTGATATGACCTAATAACTACCACATTTACAGGAAGTATGGTAATACATTCTTGTCAGCTGTCTGGGCAAATCTTCTCTCGCAGAATTGGATTAAAATTTAATGTATTTTATTTCTCACTTCCAACGATGTCGCAATTATTAGGTAAAATTTGAAGTTATTTTGAGATTCAATTAATAAATTTTAGATTGCAGCTTGATATCACTTAGTATGTACATTGTACTCGGTTGCAAGGGTAGAACTTATGAGAATACTATCATAGTAGGTATTATTGCACTATACTATTATGGGTTCATCAAAGTTCGTATCATGATTTGTCACAATTAAACCATCGAGTCACTTGAGGAAACCCGTTAAAGCTCGCAATTGGCGACGAGATAAAGTTTGTGGTACCTCTAGATGTTAAGTTAACTCTTAGGCTCCAATCTTCCTTACTATACCTACCACTCCTTCTTCCTTGATAAGAAGTAGATCCATCTGGAACAGTGAGCTGCTTCTTCCCTTCTATCCCGTACTAGCCTACTCAGCTCTCTCCAAACCGTGAACAACTACTCCCGGTGCTAGAACTTTAACCGCATAATTATAACAGCACAATTCTTTCGCTTGAATCTCAGTCTGCTGTAAGACTGCTGTACCGGTAGAGTTTTTACTTGTATGATTCAGCAATCTGCTCTTTAGATGGTACCGTTACCTCCCGCCATAAGACTGTGCCGTCTTGGTGACCTTGAGAATATCATAAGGTCCGATATATAAAAGCACTATCCAATATCGAGACCCACTCAGGATCCCGAACCACGACTCCTTTCGGTCGTCTGTACTTGCTTTTTTCCTCCCAGCATGGACTAAGTCAATGATACTGTCTTACATCGCTGGCCTTGTTCTTATAAGTGTTCACTCGGCGCTCACAAGATAACATGTTCAGAGATCTGTTGCAGAACCTTGTCGTGCCGTCATTTATATACTCCTTGACTAAGAGCTACTTTACACCTACAGCAAAAATGTGCTAAATGATACCCATCCTCTCCTCACATTACTGTACTTGCACTTACCATCCTCATCTTCGCCATAGAGGTGGTTAAGAGGGTGACGTACACAGCATCTAGCACGAATCCAATAAGTGAGTCTACAGTGCGTGTCGAAATACATTGCATGTACCCTTATATATTAATTGAGACAGAATTTTAATAAATCAACAAATTCTTAAAATTTAAAAAGGTAGAATTTAATTCTATGGCATTTATTGAAACCTGCTTTTTTAAAGTTGAGAATTGGTTTCAATTTCTAGAATATCACGATAATGTTGACTCAAAACTGTTTCAGGCAGCTATCAAGTCTCAAGATATGACATAATTTGATAGAATGTTAGTACCAACGCTATCAGTGCATTGAAGTCGAGTTCTCGATACAGGTATTATAATTAGGTTCTATCGACCGTTTTTGTAGTCTTAACTCATTTTTATTTGTTATTATACGACCAATTAAAACCTAGCAAACCAGACTTCTTTATGTGCTAAATGTTACTTTAACCTTAATAATAGCAGCATTGTGGCAGATATCCAGTTACATTTTTTCCAGCCGTATATTATAAATATACAGGGTGGGCCAAAAGTCAGTGTGCAAACGTTGGCATTAATAGCTCAGTCACTGAGTGCCCAATTGAAATAATTGGTTCTGGTATGACTTACTACCACCACTGGTTCGAGAAATTTGTCAAATCGAAACATATTTGTGTTCATTGTTTTCAAAAGAAGGTTCATTTTCGCATTTATTTGATAGTTTGGATAATCGGATCGAGCCAAATTTTATTGAATTGTGTTTAGCCATTTAAATTACGTTTGCTCTAAAAAAATGAGAGTATATATATATTACTCATGCAACTAAGATAAATTGAGTATAAATACTCAATTTATCTTAGTTTAAGTTGCAAGTTATATAACTCATTTTCTAAAGGTCTCGTAAACTTTAATCAATTACAGAGAGTGTGGCCTCTTTTTCACTGAAAAGACGCCATCAGATTTCATTGCATTCTGGGACCAATTTTGGTGTGATTTAAAGTATCCTACAAATTGGTGTTTACTGTTTCGACTTTTGTAAAATCACTGTAACAATATAATCTGTATTCTTATAGTTTCAACCATAATAGTGAAATAGAGGGGCTGGCCAATAGCCACACCCTCTGTAATTGATTTAAGTCTACGAAACTTTCAGAAATTTGTGTGTAATTCGGAGATAAATTAAACAAGTTGTTATCGGCCACCATGTGTAAACGGAATGTTCTAGCAGACTGTATAATACTATAACATACATTTTCTTACACACACATAATCTAATCTCTGGAATGTTGCTATGATATCAATGGCAATGTTTTGATACTGTGTATTATCATGATTATGCCTTACAGGCCGATCTTCCGATGGAGTTTCGGTTGCCATGGCAACACATCAATATGATAAAGAATTTGTAAACGCAGTCACAACTCTGTCGTGTACACTGTACGGTGCGAGCGGTTATTTTATGATAGGTAACATCTACTTTTTCAGCATTTGCGGGATGACCAGTTCACACGTATATTTTCGCAGACACAACTTCGCATAAAATTATATCCAATTATTCTATAACCAATTATCTACACGGACTTCTGTCTAAATATGAATGAAATCGAGAAAACCAAATATTATATGTTTCATCCTGAAGTGCTGAGTTCTCAGGCAGTATAATCATGATCCTGATAGATATCGAAGTCTCGGGTCTCCTTAAATGATTGTCTCTGCTGCTTAATATATCTGGATTGTCGTTGGGAGGCGATGCAGATTTGTTTACTTTTAAGGGGGAGGTTCTGCTCAGCAGGAGAAAGAGGTGATGCACATTTTGTATTTGTCTGACATGTAGGACTTGAGCCACGTTTCCGTAGGTGCAATAAACGGTAACGAGTGGTTTTTGGATTTCTCCTGAATAAGAGCTGAGATTTTTGGCACTTCCCATATACTCGCACTTGATGCACTAGGATTCATGGACTGGACATTTAAGACGAGGCATGAGGAATAACGGGCACGTGCAGTGTATCCTCTGAGGCGGTAGGAACTGCTGGTAGTGGTATAGTGGGAGCGCTGTTCCTGGCTGAAGAGGTGGATGTGGTCTGGGGTAGTGGTAGGGCATTTGAGTTTGAGGGAGGCTGGACCGGTGGTCGACTATTTCTGATAGGAGTCCGATCCTGGTTTGCATCGTTTCCAACAGTCTCCGTAACTATAACAATCCTGTGATCTGGTATTGGTTACTTAAACTTATTTAATTGAACATGGTGTTTGACGTTGGAGCTTATCACTTTACAGTTTACATCACCTTACCTGAATAATTGAATAGGATGAATACTGAATAGCATTTATTAATGCTTTCTTTACCCGGAGAACTCTGTTTTACTTGTCCCTCGGTAACACAAGACCGTGAGCCGTGACACTTAGTCACAATAATTAAGTCATAAGTCAGAAAGAAGTCCATAATTCGTACACCCATGATTATGTTAAATATAGATTGACTCCAGTCTCCATTGTTCAATGACTTCGTCAAAATGTTTTAGGAAAATGTTCACAGATTTGTTAATTTTGGACTCAAATTAACGTTGAGAAAAACTGAATTTATTTTGGAAAAATCCCGGCTAAAACCAAAATCCCGGCCGGTACTGGTACAAAATCGCCAAATACCAGCCGGTATTCCGGCTGCGCCGGTTATATCCCGGTCGAGTTCTGTCTGAGACCTAATTTTCTCTATTTCTCGTGCAATTTTAGATCAGACACAGTCATCTAAATTATTTAGGGTTATTTAATAAGAAGGTTTAAATTATAAGCAATTAAAAACAGTTGGGACTATCATTGTTTGTGAGTACATATTATACGAATATAAGGTGGTTAATATAATTATAACACATTTAATATAAAACATTTAAGACACATTTTTTTATTCCTGCATTGTACTCATTAATTTAACTAGTAATATTATATAAAAACCACATTTCTATTTGTACAGGGAGCTGCTGGTAAACTACCGTCGCTATACATCGACTATCAGAGGCGGCTATTGAGGGCGTCCCGGCGTCCGTGGACGCCTTAAAATTATTATCTGGTGGCTGGTGCTAAAAAATAGAAATAGTAATTAGTAATAGTGTTAGGAAATAACAAATCGCAATATAAAGGTCTTCATTTACTATCATACGTTTTAATGTAAGCGCACGCATGATCTTCGTGAAATTTTGTGTTGTAGGGAGTCCAATCCTACCTCTGGACTACTCAGCCGCGCAGTTTTAACACATAGTTAATTGTAAACGTTACAAAGCACATCGTGCGCATCCCACTACAGGTAATCTATTATGATTTGCCTCGATTTGGGGGTCCAGGACCCTTTGCAATTTGACTGCTATATGATACTGCGCGGCTGAGATCGTACACGTGTGGTGTCCTGTTTCACCCATGTTATAAGTTTTTGTTTTTGTTTGCTGTCGCCTGTAAAGTGTTACACATTACATTTACAAGGCCCTGTATGTAATGTAATCGGTAGTTTGGAGGGATCAGCTTGAGCCGGCTCCCAAGCCCCCCTCCCCCCCAGTCCATCGATTGGACCCCCAACAAAACTGCCAGCCAGCTCCCACGAGCCGCCTCTGTCGACTATGACTACAATCCTACTTTTAAAAACAAACTACATACATATCTCACATTTGCGAGGACTACTTCATCACAAGCAAAAAATCGACATTGGTAAATAAAGGTAGGTTCTTTTCACTGACTTCGTTAAATGAGTTACATATTTTCACACAAATTACGTACGTGATCATTAAAGGGTTGCTTGTGTGCAGTTACTTCTGGGCCAGCGCCACCCTGTTGGGAGTTTTCACATAAGTAAATTTGCCGATAATACAATTTTACTCATTCTGGACATGTTACCTATATTATCATTATACTAGTATTTCTTCAGGTCTGTCTTCTATAACCACGATGAAAAGAAAAGCTGGGCGAAAACATTTGAGACTGCAGATTGCAGAACTGGAACACTCTATTTGAAGACAGTGGCTGCTGAGTGCTGAGCTGCATCAAATCTATCAGCATCATGTAACTTCGATCAGGAACAGACTCCATTTCATTTCCGACAACTAGCACCTGTTTTCCCTAGACTTACCAAGTATTAAGTAACTCCATTAGTATTAGGTTAAATTAAAGGCCCTACATCGAACAAGTCTAACAATTAAAACTTAAATGCAAGAGTGCACAATTTATCACTAAATATCTTCCTCTTTTAATTCTAATCAACACACGGTTTCGTCTTTGTTTCACCCAATCGTGCTGATAATCAGTAATCATGCACTCTGCACTCTAACTTCGAGATGTTTCAAAAGGGCTCCCGACGAGTTGAATTAGATCAATATTTTCTTTTGATACATAGATACTGATTGGGAGGTTCATCATACTATTCTTGTCACATGGTAACGATTAACGATTAGCTGATCAGCTTCCAGCATCGACAGGCCGAAATCCATAAATATAATCAGTTGTAATTTAATATTTATCATCGTCCGGATCATCATAATATTTTAATTTAAAGTTACAATTGAACGGTGTTAAGAAAGATAATTTAAGAGAAATGTTTTGAAAGTGCCTGATTTCGAGTATAAGATCTGTACTGATACATTAATTTTCAGATTGTTATTATAGTTTATTTGTATTTTTTATATTATCTTATCCGCACAAGTTCGGAAGCCATCTGAACGCTATTGCCAGACACAGGCATATATTTATTTTGGGGTATCATGCTCTCAGAAATTTCAACTCAGTCCGATATTATAGTTATACTAACCTGCATTGCATAAGGTTAATTGTCTCGCAGTCTAGTGCATAAACCTTTTATTTTGTATAAACCCTTTATTTTGATTGGGAAAACTTTAGTTTAATGTGGTTACCGTCTCTAAAGTTGGCATGATAGTTAATAAACTCTTATCTATTATGTCACTGAAGATGACGCCTTGCAACATGTTTGACGATAGCCTGTAGATTGATAGTTTGATCTAAGTATTTACAACAATTCATCTAGTTTGATTGATTCAAAGGGAAACAAATTCCTCTCTTATCTATTATGACTATATTTAAATTCAATCCTGTAAAGTGATACTCCTTTTTTAGTAATTTAAACATGTGTTTTCTCCTTCTGATTTTTAAACTATTACCGGTCACGCTGAATAATAATGACATCAGTGAATTTAAAGCTATCGTTAACATCACTCAGAAAATGCGCGTCTTTAGCGCGTGTCTTGTTGTTATGCATCAATCCTTCGGTAGATCGGCGAGATGCACCACTGTGCCTCACCGAGCTGCGAAGGATTGACATCGTGAATCAAGTTACTAACGTAAGGACTGACGACATATTCAGACCCACCTACTGCAATCTCTTGACATACGTTGCATGCCACTTTTCGCGCGCGAAGCGCGCGCCGCCGAAGTGCAGAAAAAGTATTAATATCTCTGATATTTGGATACGAAACATGTATCAAGCAATCTCCAAAATCCACGTTTTTCTGCAAAAACGTCCATTCGTAACCTTTCACTATTGCCTTTTTTCAAAAGGGTGAAAAGGAAAAAATCTACCGAGCAGGTCTCATCTCACTGGATTATAATATCCCTTACTAGCCTTACTTAAACTTTGTGTAGGAACTTAATTTCAGACGAAACACTATTCAAATGTAGTAGTTCAGACACGTGCTTGGTACAGAATACAGATATCCTCGTTGAATTGGAGCCAATAGAATATGTCAGTCACTTACCTCGTGTTTGGCAGTTCTCGTCTCTTCGAGTGAGTCCCAGCTGCTTCTGTCATCTGACTGTGTGTAAGAATCTGATCTGGGCCGGGTAACGTCATCTGACTCCGGGTGATTTAACTGCGGGAGATGTAATGAAATTGAACGAAAGAGTTACAGTTTGGCTGAATTGCGCATGATTTTGTGCATGTCAATTTAGTTTTCGACCAAACATCGACAAATTTTAGCTATCCTTATAAGCCTGAAAACCTTCCTATTAAAAACATGAACAAGTTACTAACTTTAAGTGACAGAGTGACCTAGAGCATACCCAACATTTTTGCAACGGAATTTCTACCATGCTCATGTACCTTGTTAATGCACTGTTGACTGTATGTACATGCTGAACAGCGCGCATTTAGCTATCCTAGCGCATTTATAATTACATTGTTGATACCACACTTTGAATACAATCTCAAAGGCCGCGCAATACGTTCTGACACGCTCCCCCTTAGGTCATAGCTCTGTACTATCCTGCTTAATGGAATCTGCCATATTATAACCTTAGTCCGACCTGCTCTCAGAGTGATTTGTACCGCATAGTTCAACGGCTTTTATCATTATACACCTCGCAAGTAGCTATCAGGAGTGGATTAATTAACTCAAATAATTAACACTTCTAGTCTAATGTTTATTGTGTGATGTATATTATTCATGGGTTTAAACCTTTAAACAATACGAATAAACAACTTATAGTGGGCTGATCAGGTATATTTGCGGACCAACATAGGATGTGTAGGCTCTTCCTTCACGAGTACTGACCATCAAGCATGTGTGCTTTATAATAAAGTTAAGTGAATTTCGCTTAGAACTTTAGAAGAACTTAAATTTCATTTTCATCATTTAAAAACGAACCTCATGAACAGCAAGCTGTGCCTCAAGAGTAGCTAGCTCGTTACACAGAGTATCATTCCTCGCTTGTAGCACTTTCTGAGAGTGCACACTATCCTGTAGCCCCGCTTTTAGCTTGAGGATCAGTGCTGACTGCTTGCTGCTGTGCTGTGATGATAGAAGTGTCACGTGGGGTGAATACTGTGCTGTGATTGGATAAGAGCCAAGAAACTTATCTCTTTTTAAAACTGAACACAAAACTCAAAACTGATGCATTCTCACTCTTATCTTTAGTAACACGATACACAGAGTCACATTATAGAAAACGTTACTAAGATTTAGTAATGTTTTCTTTAGTGCACTTTTCTTTAATACACATAACAACATTACACATAGCCAAACAGTGGAAATAAGCGTGAATCTCGGATGCGAAATCTAAATTTGTAAAATTTCAAAAGATTGAAAAAAGCGTGAATGCTGGAGCCTGTGTGTTTGAAGTGTATAAGATGTTTATTGTAATAAACTGTACATTAGTACAGGGTGGGCCAAAAGTCAGTACCCATACGTTGGCTTTTATAGCTCAGTCACTGAGTGCCCAATTTAAATACTTCTTTCTGGTATGACTTAGTACCACCACTGGTTCGAGGAATTTGTCAACTCGAAAAATATTCGCGTTCATTTTTTTCAAATGGAGGTTCATTTTCACATTTATTTGATAGTTTGGATAGTCGGATCAAGCTAAATGTTATTGAATTGTGTTTGGCCATTCGAATTACGTTTGTCCTGAAAGAATTAGAACTGTAGCTTCTCAGATAACCGAGATATTAAGCATAACGAGTTTATTCATTACGTGTGATCAGGTGATTGGTTTACCTAATCACGTGATAAGGTGCCCCCGTTAAACATTATGGGAATTGTTAAGGGTGCCCAATTAAGGTGTCGTGTCACGGTGTCACATAATCACCCAGTCAATATTGTTAACGAGATACAGAAAATGCTTGATAACTTCGTCATTTCTAATCCGTTTTGCCTCATGTTTTCAGATCATATGCAACATTTGATAATCTACCGTCTCTGAAAAAATTAGGCGTTCAGCATGTTCAGAGAAAACAATATAGGTGTTTTAATATTGAATGGGCGTGGTCTAAAATATTCGAATTTTCAAATTTTGACGACGGAATCCTCGAACCAGTAAGTACAGTATGCCATCTGCAAAGCAACAGCTCTCAAATATAAAACACGGCGGAGCTATTAAGGCCAACGTATGGGTACTGACTTTTGGCCCACCCTGTATATAACTGATATCTAACTGTCACGTGACAGTACTGACCATGTTGAGTTCCTCGTACTCTTCTCGTAGTTCATGTAGTGTGGTTGTCTGTACTGATATCACATCGTTTAGTTTATTAAGCACCTCGCTATCGCTCTCTTTCTTCTCTTTCTCCCGAACCTGTAAGTTAAGTAACCTGTAAGTTAAGTAACCTGAAAGTTAAGTAACCTGTAAGTTAAGTAACCTGTAAGTTAAGTAACCTGTAAGTTAAGTAACCTGTAAGTTAAGTAACCTGTAAGTAACCTGTAAGTTAAGTAACCTGTAAGTTAAGTAACCTGTAAGTAACCTGTAAGTTAAGTAACCTGTAAGTAACCTGTAAGTTAAGTAACCTGTAAGTTAAGTAACCTGTAAGTAACCTGTAAGTAACCTGTAAGTTAAGTAACCTGTAAGTTAAATAACCATCAGCTCGTATTTAGAAGACATATTTATGTAAGAACTTATTTTACAAGTTACTGAGCCGTTACAAACCTGACTTACTTAATGTTAATTGTAATATTATATTAATTATAGGCTGATCTGAATAGATAAAATAAGGTTGTGGTGAAGTGATGCTGGCTTCTCTCTCCTGGAGTAAACTACAAGGAACCAGCTATTCAAATACAACTATTTATTACTATTAGGTATATTTCATTTGATTGATCAGAAAAAGTCGCATCATACCAACTTTTGATATCCACTATCTTCTTAATTTGGCTTATGACAAGAGATATTGGCAGAAATTACAGTGATGTAATTTTACAATTAGTTATTTGTTTTATATTAGGGAAAGATTAGATTCGGGCGTTGTTTTCGTAACTATGCCTTGTTTAGAACTTTTATTTGATAATAACTAGGTAAATCAGTATATAATACAAGCATTATTATATATATAAGCAATTAAGCATGTGTAATGTGTGTTATGTACTTTCAAACCCTAAAAACTCACCTCGTTTAGAATTACAGGGAGATAACGACATATTTATCATAACATACTTAGTACATACAGTCCGTGCATACTGCAGTTCCGCAATCCGCGTGGTTAAAAAATGTGTTTCTAGTTAAGAGCTTAGAGCAAGATCTACAAAACCGATACTCTGACTAATTATTCACCGAGTATTCTCTTGATGCATTCTCTAGTTTAAGCACGTACAAAATTACAAAAATAGTGACTTTTTTACGTAATGGAAGAGGCGTGCTGCCAAACTGAGGCTGATTTATAAATGTACCAGCTTACAATGCAGGTGTTATTATATCTGCTAATTATTTAATTACATAATCATTTAATTACTGAACCAGCTTAATTAAATCAGATGTTACTCACCTCTCTATTAAACACAGTGGAACAGGTACTCTTCACCACCATAACCGTGTATTAGATTAAGTGTACTGTGTACATATATAGTGTATAAATACACGCCCAGTACAATATGTACATCCGATACTCGTATTGTTTCCTTATTCTGGTGCAGACTCGTGATGTACAATAACGCGGGTGCAGCAAAATGGTAATTTTACTGCTGGAATATGGAGAAAGCTAGTTTAATATTGAACGATCAGTGCAACATAGCTCATTTAACATGTGGTATTCAAAGTGTAGTCATTATATTGTTCATCAGATGAGATTATCACTATGAAATCGTGCTGAGACTCGTACACCTCAATCTGAACACAAGGAAATGTTTTATAAGTCACATAATATAAAACAATTTGAGAAATCTGTTCCACACTTGGTACACTTTTTCAGGTGATAGGAATTTCATTCGATTTGAGATATTTTGTCATGTGCCGAAACCCCTCACCAGGATTACAAATCAAGATTTTGGTAGTCCGTATTTCTGTTTACACGCGGGAGATACCGACCAATCAGGTTCCAATATTGACCAATCAAAACCAGAATCACTCTCTCGTTGGAAAGATCCATTTGGACAATGGACAGTCTTCTTAAAACCCTCGTAATTAGTGTTATCTGTAATTACTGATCTAATAGAGTACTAAACCATGTATTCTCTTGAGTCTTGATTCATTCTCTAGTTAAAACACGTACAAAATTACAAAAATAGTGACTTTTTTACGTAATGGAAGAGGCGTGCTGCCAAACTGAGGCTGTTTTATTTCCCAATGAAATTAAAACCTCCGTAATTAGTGTTATCTGATGGAGAACTAATGAAGTACAGTGTGTAGCTGTTTCAACACTGTTTCAACACTGTTTCAACACTGTTTCAACACTGTTTTAACACTGCATGAGGGCAGCTCAAAGTTGTAATCGTATCCAGAAATATATCAACACAATATAGTACAGTGTAATATATTCTATAATGTATTAATAATGTATTAATATTTACGATTGAAAGAAAAAATGTAGTGTTAAATCACCGAAAAAATTGATGAAGGAGTAATATGTTACCTTCAGTAAATTTACGTCTGACAGCTGAATAGTGCTTGACTGTAATTCTCCCAACAAACGCCCATTTTCCTCCATAAGTCTTGTATTCTGTGCCTGAGAGTAAACAAAAGGGTAGAAAATACTTCTGCTCAGAATTAGTAACAACCCTAATTACAGAGTATTTGAAAGTAGTCATGGAAGCATGAACATGATGTACTTCAAGGAGACCCGCTTGTGACTCGACTAGTTTCGGCTTTTTGTACTTGATACGGCTGTAATTAGTTTAAGACTAATTACAGCACTACAAATCTCTTACATTTATTGAGGTGATACTCTCTCGGGGATGAGTCACAAGCGGGTCACCTCGAAGTACAAGGTACAATAGCTCTAATACAAGGTACAAGAGCTTTAAGCATGGTACAATGTACTGGGTACATGAGTTCTAATACAATTTACAGGAGCTATAATACTAATAGAAGCACCTTATATAGTGATTCGTTGACTGATTATGCCTAATATGTCAAAGCGGGCAGTGTTAAAGATTAACGAGAATTCTTCGGGTGATCATAAGTTATAACATAATATATAATAGACACGAATGTTGTATATTGTACATATTGTGTATATGTTAGGGAGGTTTATCAGCAGTGAAGATTTGCCACCTAATGAAGAAGGAGGAGGAGGGCGTCCAACTATTTGATTAATTTAAATTACGACATGCTGGCAATTATAACTTTATATTTAAAATTAGCCCTACTAACACGCCTTCAAATTGCACTCAATTAAGAACCAAATTTAGTGACATAATATCATTATAACGAATAGGACTCTGATTATTATTAGTGAAAATTATTATTTTTGCATATTTTCACATATTTTCGCATATTTTCACATATGTTTGCATATTTTCACATATTTTTGCATATTTTCACATACCTGCAGCTCCTGAACACGACAGTGAGACAACTGTTGTTGGTGCATGTGTGCTTCTCTCTCCTGCGCGAAATAAATATTCAAAGCTATGTCAAATCAAAGAGACTCCCAGTCACTAAATGATGCATTTTTCCCATTTCAATTCAATTTGAAACTACTATTGATGAGATTGGGAGAATTATTTACATTTTCAATCTTCTCACTTTACTTACTTCTTCTAAAGCCAGTTCGGCGTTCACAATCCTCAACCGTGATTGTCTTTTAGAGGAAGTGAGGGCTTCAAACTGTTCCAACACACTCACAACTTTGTTCATTGTGACCTCAATCGCACTGTACCCATATCTGAGAAAACACTTGTATTAATTAAACGTGTTCATTAGTTAGATAATTTTAAGATTTATTTAAAAACCTCATCTTGAAAACACTGTACATGAATAACCTGTCAATTAAGTCAATTAAGTCAATTAAGTCAATTAAGTCAATTAAGTCAATTAAGTCAATAACCTGTCAATTAAGTCCTCAAAAGCGGATCGTATCGCAGCAAGCTGCTCGTATACCGAGTTCTCATCGAGATTCTCCGCTCCGTCAACCGTCATCATTATGACATGAGCTAAGAAGCTTAGGCAAATGTTACTGTCAGTCACATTGGTCATTGAGGCATTATATAGTTCTAATATACCATTACATAATGACTTTAATATAATAGGAATAAGAATGATAAGACTGTGACTCAAAAACTGTATCAAAATCTATCACTCTCATACACACACACATACATACACACACACACACACACACACACACCAATTGACTGCACTTTTTTTCTTCCCCCAAACTGTAGCTAAAATCTGTGTGGTAAAATCTCGATTTACCGCATTTGTTCCCTTTTCTAAACTATGCAATAAATCTGTTTGGTACAATTTAGTGTGTACTGGTTGCTAGGTATCCATTTATCACTAACCATGGTTAGAGGTAATGAAGAGAAGGTTTTTAACTTGTAAAAACGGTGATACTGCCACATAATCCCGCTTAAACACATACCACAGTGTCAAACCGTCAGAGCCTTGGTTATTTGACTAGTGTGGTTCCTTTAGGGTGTTCTGAACATTTTAGTGATAGACTTCAGAGAATAGATGTGATCCACCATGTCCAGTGTCTACCAATAATACAGTTTACAAATTCGTAAATATGTCCTCCAATTTTCCTTTGATAATGACGAAAACTCGATCAGGTCATTAACTTTACTCACTCCTCTGATTTGCCACTGACAATGGTTACTGCCAGTTTTATGCAATTTTGTGTTTTTTTGGTGTACACACTTTGGATACTGGTCTTATATATTGTGTGAGATTACAGTTTGCAAAATGACTGACTTTTTGCTTTTCATTTTATTATATGTTCAGAATTTATATCATTTAAAAGTTTTTATAGCTTCAAGACATTTCATTGTTCACTTCCAGATTAAATCTTCAGTATTGGAATACCATATCGTGGACTAATTTCACCATTTGAGAAGTTGAATGAAACTTCTTCAATCAGAGCTGTCATCACAATGATTGTATCTTCATAAGCTCTGAGATCATATGATAGGCAGTGGCGTAACGAAAGGCCCTGCTGACCCCGCTGTGCAGGGGGGCGCCGTCTTAGGGGGGCGCCAAATCGTCGTTTGAATATGGGACAATTTCGAAAACTTAACTAAAGTACTAGCAAAACTGCGCGTTTTGCTCTAGATACACACATTTTTAGAGATTTTACCGGCGTATTCTCTAAAATCACCTAATTTGTTCAATTTTAGGGAGGGGCACCAAAAGGGGAGGGGGCGCCAACAGGGGGGCGCTTTTTTCGGCAGGGGGGCGCCAACAGGCAACGTTACGCTACTGATGATAGGTCTGCATGTCTAGTAGCAATGGAGTAGAATCGGTTAGCTGCAACATCTCGTTGAGTGTTGTCTTCTTCTCCCAGATGTACTCCCCTGACTTTGATGAAGACTGAAGAGTCTAATACATTTTTTTAAGAAACTGGTGAAAAAAGTTGATGCAACAGTGTCAAGAGCCTGTGAAGACTGTAGACTGTCGAACGCATTTAATGCATCAACAAGGAGAAATCCTAGGGTGTTTCCGTTGGCAAAGATCTCGGCCATTGAATGGACTGCAGCCTCTTCATATATTATATTATATATGGTTGACCATTGTTAATGGTCTGGCCCGGCGCGGCCCACGCTACTTCGAAGAAATTTAGACGAGTAACATCAGTCAAATACATGGTAGTAGTAATAGATATACATGATTCAAACAATTTCAGGTTTGTAGAGAAACGCTTGCCTTCTAAATGTGTTTAGTTTTCACTGTCAAAAATTCTGAAAAGAGATTCTATAATAAAATCAACGAGTACCAATAAAATGTAAAAAATAACTTTGGTAAATTTAGTATTATCTGTGACACTGAGACTTATTTTAATTTTTTAATTTATATGCGGATAAGTTCAAATACAAATTTAACATTTAAACAATTTTCTTGAAAGATTTTTACTTCAAGATCGATTCTTCTGAAAGGGCATTATTACTAGCTAGTTCTGGAGGATATATTATTTATTAATGCTTAATTTTCATACAAAGTTATAACAAATTCTTAACATGTCGTACATTTTGGGCCTGGACAGGATTTATGTTAAAAATGTGAATAAGTGCCTCCGTTGTCAGTCAAACAAAGTTATTACTTTTAAATTTTATGGCAATTTTATACATCAATATTGGAAATATTTAATTATGCTTACTAGACTGGTATGGGCGGCGCTAAGCTTGTCATTTTACTTGTTTTTAATTCGGCTGCATTTTCAATTTGTTTATAAACAAGTAAATTAAAAGCAATTAACAAAATTCGGTCAGGATGAAATCAAATCAAATCAAAAATATAAGTATGTTTGATTGTTGATACCGTTGTCATACGTTGTACGATCCGCCGCGCACGATGTGCGCGGCTCCCCCTGTATCGTCGAAGCGACCGTGGGGGTCACCACGTAATACAATGATACCGTACTCTATTGAGCTTTAAAATATAGCTGCACTTGATAATGTTTAAAAACGCACGCAAAGCCTTGACGGATGATATTTGTTTAATGATTTTTCGAAATAGCGCGCGCAACTTTCTTCAAAAAATATTATATAAAAAAAACATTGTTTTACTGGGCGGCGCTCAGCCTGTTATTCCGCCTAATCTCTATTCGGCGATTATGAACATAAATATAATACTTAATAGCCTGGGGTTCCCAGGCTAGGTAAATATTATCATGATTACAGATTAAGGTTGGAGGACTTCGCCGCTTCGCTGCGCCGCGCGAACTAGCAGTCTTGCTTAATATAATGCTTTGCATCGTCGATCGTTGCTCTGCTTCGCAAAGCAATAATTTCGATGGGTTGACATCGTCAATCAAAATTAAGGCAAAGTGTTTTATAATAACATACGCCGCGCGGGCCAGTCAATAAACAATAAACAAAATTAAACAGCATGATCTATTGATCTGAGCAAACTTAATTTGTTCCATCGGCCAGAGCGGGCGCCCACCTCCGACGGTAATTGACCATTGTTAATGTTTTGGCCCGAAGTGTGCCATCGGGCCATATAATATTTCGAAAAGAAAGCGGCGCGCGCTACTTCGAAGAAATTTAGACGAGTAAAATCCAAAAGACGGTAACAATCGTGCATGTTGTACTAGCTTACTGTATAGAAGGCTCTAACCAGAGCCCTCTCGCTTGCAATAGCGCGCTTGCAATAGCGCGCGCGACCAACGAAGGCGGCTAGAATACGGATAATCAAATAGATTTTCAAATCTGTGAAAGCCTGACCTATCTCTCATACATGGCTTGTAGTTGTCTAAATTAATATTGACTTTACTATGCATTTATTTGATGATAGATCTATCAATTACTAAGTTAAAATTTTGGTGTGTAATACTATTTTAACAGACGGCTCTCACGATCTATTTAATTTCACACTCATAAAGTAGAGAAAACATAATTACCACGTCTAAACTAGTACAGTCTTATATGAAGCTACTCCAGAGCCGTATCTTGAATTAACCATATATTGTACCATGCTGGGGAACCCTGATCTAATACAGATTGTAAACTTTATACCGAGTAGTCCAAAACGGGTTTCGGTATTTTAGTAACTATCTATCAACAATGAATTTGGGTGGTAGCCTGCTCCTCCTCATGGTCTCCTTAGACTCAAGTCACACTGGTTGATATTCCTCTGACTCCTCTATAACTCTGCAGCAAAATTTGTATCATATTAATAATACTGAACATGGTATAATGTTCAATTAATGTCTATAATGCAGAAATTATATGAAAACAAACTATGAAATAGTACATTCAATCAAACCAAGTGATTTAGGGAGAAAAAGCTGCCATATTACTTGTTTTTGTTTAAGTTCCAGGGCATCTCTTTTCAAATAGATAACTTCACTATTTTGTTCACGGTCTTTACTTTTATGTTGCCCAGATTGATTGGAATGACTGAATTGGAATTCAGTTATTTTCTTTTTACTTATTGTTTTGCAATAAACGTTTTATCAGATAATATGCAGATGCAGCTTCTTAGCGTGTTCATTAACACCATGACTATATTTTGCCTTTTAATTTATTGACCTATTATACCTAGTGGTAGTTTTATAGACCACATTTAATTTATTAACTTATCATACTTAGTATTTATTTTTGGTGACTGTATCACCCAGTTTTAACATTTGATAATTGTACAGTTTATTGACGAAACATTGACTGAATGTTATTTTATATTCTAATTTATATTCTAGATATTTTATTTATTTTTCAACAGACGACAACTTCCTGTTTTTTCTTCTATATTAGTTACTCATATCTCTTGTACAGACTGTTTTACAAGGACATTGACAGATGATACTCACATTAGGCATTCATTATTGCATCTAAATTATTTCACTTGCATTAGGTTTAGAAATTTATTCTCTGGTTAACAGATTTCAAATGTTTAATCAATTTGTAGTATGACAGTAAGGTATATAAGAAGTTATTTAATTTTGCTTGGGCTATTATATTGACTATTGAGGTTTAATGATGATATGGAATTTGAATTCTATATAAATTTACACTATGTGGTTGGGGCATTTTGCATAGTAAATATGGTTACTACTCCTATATATCATATTATTTGATTGGTATTCGATTTCTGATTATTTCTTAGGAATATGATTATTATATCTCAATTTGGCTTTAGGTAGGGTGCCCCGCTAAAAGAACTGGATTCTTCCAGGAAGCATCCCGTGCACAGACCTTGGTCTACATATATATTAAATTATTAACCATTCATTCTGTATGTGCACGAAAATTTATTTCAATCAAAATGCATGTATTTGGTGTGGTCGCCTGTTTAGTTTCATTCTACCTGACTTTGTAGATATTTAGATTCTTAGCATGAACCATAAATTCTGTTTTTTATCACTGTAGTTCTTGAGTTGTTTGAACCCACAAATCTTGCGTTTTCGAATTCTTGACACTGCATCACACTACAAATGGATGCACTAATCTCAATCTCCATAAAGTGCATTTTAAAATGGTGAATCCTTGTCTAACAAGACAATCCCAAAATATTTAGCAAGTATGAACGCTTGTTATTTATAGACCTTTGTTGTTTTATTGAAAATAAATATCTGTTCCTTCGCCTCTAGCAAGGGTCTCCATTCTCCAACGGATGGCCTGACTACATTTAAAATTTACTGCAAGGAGTGTAGGCAATAACAAATTAGATCACAATATTATGTTTTTAGGTGCCTCACATGGGGTGGGCGACAATTGCCCCCCGACAATTGACCCCCCTGACAATTGACCCCGACAAATGACCCCCCTAACCGTAACCCTAACCCTAACCCTAACCCTAACCCTAACCCTAACCCTAACCCTAACCCTAACCTTAACCTTAACCCTAACCCTAACCTTAACCTTAACACTAACCCTAACCCTAACCTTAACCTTAGTTCCTAACCCTAACCCTATCAATTGACCCTGACCCTGACCCTGACCCTGACCCTGACCCTGACCCTGACCCTGACCCTGACCCTGACCCTGACCCTGACCCTGACCCTGACCCTGACCCTGACCCTGACCCTGACCCTGACCCTGACCCTGACCCTGACCCTGACCCTGACCCTGACCCTGACCCTGACCCTGACCCTGACCCTGACCCTGACCCTGACCCTGACCCTGACCCTGACCCTGATAAAACAACCAATCAATTGAACTCAGTGTAATTGTACATGGGGGGTAAATTGTTGGTGGTCAATTGTTGGGGGGGTTTATTGGCGGGGGGTCAATTGTTGCGGTACATGGTCATTAACCACTGCTTCTCTGGTTTGAGTCAGTGTGGGCAAAATTTGTTCAATCAATGATAACTTTACATCACAAACCTTGTAGGTATCTCTATTATAATTCAAAGAATTGTTTTTGTACGTACACTGTACGACCACACCGTGCAAAATGATGTATAGTAACCATGGTAACGGTGTCAAAACGCGCACGTGCACTTGCAATGATTATTTTAACGTAATTTTGGTTTTCTGGTAAATACGTCGTGTTTAAAGTGTTTTCATTTAAATCGGCTGTATTTTTGGTTGGGGTGGATATTTTTGTATGCGATTAAAACTTTATTTCATAGAATACTATTAGCTTCCTCCCTGTTACCACGTGCTTTCTATTACTATATAATGTCAGAGTGAAATCTCTAATATTTTCTCTTCAGCAATGGTTTGGGTTGAAAAGGTATGACACAATGTGAACGGTTTAAACGAGCCAAGTTCTTGTTGGAATGTTACCAACTGTCGGATAAGATGGGTGCTATACAAAGTCAACTTAAAAGTAGGAAAGCCAGAAGACAAGAGAGGAAGCAGGCAAAACAGCAGCAGCAAGCAGCTAACTCTGGATCAGTTGGTGATAAAGAAAGTGTCGATGCTAATGAGGCCTTATCGCCATCTAGCAAGAGGAAAATTGGCACTTTCCTGAAAAATCTTTCTCCTCGACCCAGGACTAAAAATGATAATTCACGTGAGGCTGTGTCTGTTCCAAATGAAAAGGAAACCCCAACGATAGATAATGAAAGGACAGAGCAGAACAATAATCATTTGAGTGAGAAGAATTACTTACAATCAGACAGCCAAGCAGATTCTGCAATAAACTTAGACAATCAGTCAGATTCCGCTATCCAGATCATTGACAGGGACAATTCTGAGAATTTTAAAGAATTGAATTCAGAGCCTGTTGTTGATTCATCAGAGGTTGCCAATTGCACATCAGTGAATCCAGAAATTACCACAAACAGCATTGTTGTCGAGAACGAGACTGAAGAGTGTGCTGCAGACAATCAAGATGATGTACCTGTTATTGTCAATGAAAACGCTGAACCTGATGAAAATGAAGATCATGGATCTACTAAATATTTGGTGAGTTTAAGTCATTTTGGTTGTAAAATTTTGCTAATTAAATACATAGTCATAAAATAACCTGTTTATAAAATTAACCAATATGCTAAGCAACAACACATGTTTTGTAATTTACGGAAAATTTTATCAATGTCTAAAAGTTTAATATTCTTTTAAGATTACGATTTTCACGAATTATTACTCTACCACTGATCATAGTGGTGAAATTGGAATTTTTAGTTTTCCGTCCTATTTAGAACTAGATTATATAATTATATATAATATTATGAATTATGATATTGCAAGCAATGAAATCCCAAAAACAAATTGCATAATTATGTATTTCTTTATATCTGGAAATATGGCCTGGTTTTAAATTCACATTCACTTAAGAGTGAATTCACATTTCTTGGGTTTTTTTTCTAAGCATGTGTACATTTTTGAACCGTTCTTCGAAAAGTAAACTTCTGACTTATCCAGGCTGTCGAAGGTCAAAGTGATACTGGAATCAGTGATATCTCTGGTACAGGTGAGTTTTATCTCCAAGGCCTGACACGTACAAGTGGTGATTGATTGGGGACCAGCTTTTGGTACACTGGTTAATGTTTACTATAATATTAAAGTATTACAATTACATAAAATTAGATAAATATAAATTCCCTTTGCTTAGGACGTACCAAAATATCCAAAAATGAAACGATGCACCTTAGCACACAACACAATACATAAACAACTGGCAGTGTATCCTCAGAAAAGAGCCCTATAGATAAACCTGGCCTGGGTGAGACCTGCATTGCGATTGCTATTCAGCGATGTGTGCTCTACAAGTCATCACATACCTGAGTTACAATCACGGTTGCAGTTGTATAACTCACAATTAAAAGTTCCTCGTTATCGGCCGAAATCAACAAATACACGCCGAAATCAACTAATACACGCAACAGCCATAGATAAGAGCCTTATAGTACACTTAAATCGAAGAAATATGGATATCAAAAACACTATATGTTACATCTTGACCTTATCTACACTTAAAATCTTGCCGTCTCTGATATAATGATACTTTGTTGGCTGAGCAGTAATCATTTCCTTCATTTTTACAACAAGTTTCTGGTGAGCTGCTTTCTCCTCCCTATTTCTGTCAGGTGTGATGTACCATGTGTGGTACGCTACATAATTAGATTTCTTCAGATTTCTTGCTCGAGCAAGAACCATTTTGACTGATTCCGTGCAAGCCAATGTCACTTTTAACGGTCTTGGTTTACCACTATCTGCAGGTTTTTTAATCCCGATCAAACTTGCTGCCACCACTTGAGGATCACACCCCGATGATTCCCAAATTTCGGTAATCACTTCTTCTGCCACTATATGTGGATCACTGCCGTAATTCTCTGGCACACCGTAAACAATGAAATTCTTACTGCGGACGTCATCTTCAACTACAGTTTTCACAGCTGTCTTTATACTGTCAATCGACGGAGCACTGGTAGTTGTTTCACAGTTCTCCTTCACGATGTCGCACCATGTTTTTTTCATCTCAGTTTGTACAGTTTGCTGGACAGAGTCGAGCTCTTTCTGTTGCTGTTTGATAAGATCCTTCTGATAATTAAGCTGCTCTGATTTCAGTCTGTCTATCGTACTGGCCGCAGATTTACATAGTTCAATATTGCCTGTCATCAATTTAGAAAGTTTTTCAACAGCATTAGCCAAGGGGTCTTTCGTAATGGCCATTAATCTCGAATGATTCAGCTCTGTAACGGTTTGAGTTTTCGAGAGTTTCAAAATGTCATACAACGCCACTGATAACTCTTTTTCGAGTCTGTTCAAATTTTCCACAGTGAAGTCCATTGTACAAAGCAAAGGCAAGCTGAGTAGCTGGCGTGTCGATGTAAAGATAAAACAACTGATAAGAGAGCAATTAAAACTGTTGCAAATGCTAGAATAACTGATTGTAACTGGTTATATTCCTCATATTTTAATACATAATTATATAGTATTTATTAACTTATTTATAATTATAATAATTATATAATACTAAAATAAAAGTATTTATCAAATTTCTGACATACTCAATGACCGATAATTGAACCACAAATTCTAAAATAACGTAGGAAATTTATCCACTGCACATTACAGCCAATTTCAACTGGATCATTCGAATTTCTGCGGTGTGAGCCGAAAGGGGACAAGCCAATAAACATTTCAGTTCATTCCATAATGTCATGATACTTAGCTAATATTCTCTTTTATTTGAATGTGTACAGCATCTGACACCATGTCATGTTTCGTTATCCTTCTCATTTACATAAACACCAGTGTTATGAAGTATTATAAAGGTATTATAAAGGTGTTACATATAATATATAATATTGTTATATTATATGTTATATATGTTATAAACCAGGCAAAGTTTTAAACTCACTGCTGGTGACACACCTCCAGAAAAACATCCAGTGTAGTTTACAATTCACAGCAATGATAAATGTGATAATCATTATAACATAATGATAATAATATAATAATTAATAAGTAGTACCGACATGTGACACCACAAGTTGTTCTCCAATTATGAAGATGTAAGTCTTCGCGCGCGTGTACTTTAGTAGGTTTCCTCTTGATAATCTTATCAGGCACTCTCCGGTTAGCTGGTTATTCCTGGCGTAGTTTTGTTACGTATTGGTTTATGTAGTGTTACTATCACACTGCTGCGGGTAATGATATTTGCCAAGCTTGGTTTTGTTTTGATTCGTTTGGTTGGTTGGAATACGGCGTGTGGTGTGCTGTCACGTGATAGTAAAATTTATCTTTTTTCGTAGATTAGATTTGGTTTTGAGAGGTTTTGAGACGGCTTGATGTGTGTGTGTGTGTCGGTGTGTGTGTGTGTGTGTGTGTGTGTGTGTGTGTGTGTGTGTGTGTTTGTGTGTGTGTGTGTGTGTGTGTGTGTGTGTGTGTGTGTGTGTGTGTGTGTGTGTGTGTGTGTGTGTGTGTGTGTGTGTGTGTGTGTGTGTGTGTGTGTGTGTGTGTGTGTGTGTGTGTGTGTGTGTGTGTGTGTGTGTGTGTGTGTGTGTGTGTGTGTGTGTGTGTGTGTGTGTGTGTGTGTGTGTGTGTGTGTGTGTGTGTGTGTGTGTGTGTGTGTGTGTGTGTGTGTGTGTGTGTGTGTGTGTGTGTGTGTGTGTCGGTGCGTGTGTCGGTATCCTTACATCTTTGTTCATAGTTAATGTTAGTGTTGTCATTACAATATTGCTAATGTGTGGGAGGCTCTGCTTGAAGTAGATGCGTTTTGGATAAAGTTCAGTTACACGTCATTATCTTTATCAAAAAGTACGGACTGTAAAGTCCACAATTTCAGTCCTGCAACTTTAGAAGGTAACCTTAAGATCAGTGAAACATATCATACAAGATATAACTCAACAGCCTGTGTACAAGATACAAATGAGTTGCTGGCATTCCCGGCTCAATGTAAACCGTCATGCAGTCGATCATTTGCCCCCTTTCTTACACCAAAAACGTTATGCTTCTGTCTTTCTGTGTTAGGGATCATGGTTTTGAGAGGGTCATGGTTTTGTAAACACTGTTAAACTAAACTGTGGACTAAAATAGAGCAGATGATGTAATTTTACGAGAAAAAGAGAGAGAGAGAGGGGAGGGGGGAGAGAGAAATATAGGGGGGGGGGAATATAGAGGGGAGGATATAGAGGGGGGAGGGTGGTGGAGAGAGAAATATAGGGGGGGGGAGGGTGAGATGGGGTTCTCATCAGAGTGAAGTAAAATGAATGAACACTTCCTGCGTGTATGGACCTAACAATATGATAATGTAATATAATATCATGTTTACCGCTGCACTGTATAACTACATGTACTTGTAATTTATATAATCCGCAGATTGGTGCACATTGCACATGATAATGTAGGTTCGAAAGTATTTGAATTTCGCGGACGAAAGTGGGTTTTTCATTTAATGAAACTAAGTATGAATATCAGCAAAAGGATTATTTCATCTTCATGACCAATCCAAACCCGTAATTATCGTCACGTGTAAAATATTGTTTAATCTCCTCAAGTTCCCTCAGATGTCCACTTCCAGATAATATATTATGTGTTAAATGCTGACACATTACACATTACACATTACACATTACACATTACACATTAAACATTACACATTACACATTACACATTACACATTACACATTACACGTTACACGTTACACGTTACACGTTACACGTTACACGTTACACGTTACACGTTACACGTTACACGTTACACGTTACACGCTACACATTACACATTACACATTACACATTCCACATTGCACATTGCACATTACACATTACACATTACACATTACACATTACACATTACACATTACACATTACACATTACACATTACACATTACACATTACACATTACACATTACACATTACACATTAAACGCCTTCAAACTGCCTAAAATACACACGACACAGTTACTCAAACCGGTTAATTAACTAAATATGCAGGTTGCATACCGCTTCCTTTTTACCTACCACTGGACACGCTTCTGTGCATTTTCTTGTAGCTTTGTCATCATGCCACATAATATGTATAATGTTGGCTTGTGAAAATTCTAACATTTTTTATTCGGCAGCATAAATGGCACTTTTCCTTCTTGATTTGTCTATAAGATTTATCTATTAATCAATATGATATAATAATATGAAGTATGTATAATGTGGTTTCAGGAAGCAAGGTTATCTTTTATACTAAGTGATAAAATAAATATGCTTTTATTTTTACAGGTCATCTGGCACAAGGTAATCCTTTCAGACTGATTAGCGCTTGATTAAAAACGTCGGAGCACAATTTTAAACTCGATTTTTGGGCCTTTGATCGTTTTCCAAAGATTTTGAGTAATTGAGCACGATACGTACATAATTAAGTAATCCAAAATCTGAAATGTCAGTGGAAAGTGAATTTTGAGCTGGTCTCGGTTTTTTAATGATCAATTACATGATTACAATTAATTATAGTACATTATATTAATTATATCAAAGCAACTTAAAGCTTTTAAGACCAAACGAATAATGTCTAGCCAACCCAACATCCCTCAAGCCATACCTTCACATTCATTTCCAATTAAATACAACTCTCATTATATATAATACAATACTCCATATTATATTATATCATTGCTATATTATAATATAACATAAAATATACCCGCAGTCCAATAGATAAATATATAATATGAAATATAATATCCAATCTCTCCCTCTCTCCCTCTCTCCCTCTCTCCCTCTCTCCCTCTCTCCCTCTCTCCCTCTCTCCCTCTCTCCCTCTCTCCCTCTCTCCCTCTCTCCCTCTCTCCCTCTCTCCCTCTCTCCCTCTCTCCCTCTCTCCCTCTCTCCCTCTCTCCCTCTCTCCCTCTCTCCCTCTCTCCCTCTCTCCCTCTCTCCCTCTCTCCCTCTCTCCCTCTCTCCCTCTCTCCCTCTCTCCCTCTCTCCCTCTCTCCCTCTCTCCCTCTCTCCCTCTCTCCCTCTCTCCCTCT